TCCCACCACCTCCATCCAACACACAACATGCACACACACATCCAAACACATCATACACACATAGACTGGGAGAATCCACTACTAGCCTGCGCAGCCTGACACCATGCATGCTGCAATCCCCTCCATGCATGCTCTGCCGGAATATGCATCTCTATCCTGGGACTTGAATGATGTTCTGCTGCAGCAAGACTGGACAGTCACATGCCACATGAGGATTTAATCTTTTTTGTTGTTGCTTTCATCCAAAGGAGCATCTTGAAGATTCTGGGCTTCAGTTTTATCTCTAGAAATATTCTTCTTCTTTTTAGCTCATCATCTTTGTTTTTTTGCTGGGTGGTCAAAGTTACCTCTGCATCCCACAATGGAACTAAATTGGATGCTGCTCCTGTCTCTGATTTGGCAAGTGCAAGCTGTGGAAGGTAAGCCTGAGGGATCCGGTTCTGTAAGGGTTAAGTTACTGTTTCTTGGGGGGGTCTATAATAAGGATACATGTTGTACGCTGATTTTTTTTTAATGTAACTATGGTAAATGGTAACTGTATGTTTTGCACTGGTGGCAGACTGACTGTACCGTCAGGCAAAACATTCTTGAAATGACTTCTGTATTGGTTAGATTGCGAGCTCTTGGGTGCCAGAGGTGCTTGCATAGAGACCGGCGTGAGGGCACAGCGCTGTAAGCCGCCACCGAAGTTGAGTGTTCCTCTCGGTGTGGTGTTTACTGGTAGGAAAGCACCTGTTATATTGAAGCAACAAGGTACTCAAGTTTAAAGAGGTGGCTTCTGTATCAGACAGTACAGGGGGGATCTTCTACGAGTGTACAGACAATGACAGCATTTGTATGAGTTTTTGGATGATGGCAGATGGGAAGGCGACCGAGAGATCTCTGCTTTCCCAAACAGAAACAAATGTCCTTTTTACCAGCTGATTATTTACAATATAACACTATATAAGGGGGGTGGGGGGGTATGCCGGGAGCTCAGTGGCTCTCTCCCTCTATGATCACGTTGGTGAGATTGCTTTCCATGGCAAGAGAACTAATTAAATAGATATATTACGAAAATGAGGTGCAAACGTGTCGCTTGTGTCTCAGTGGGGGAAGATAAATGGCCCCTTCTGTTAGTGTTAAATCAATGTGTGCTTTCTAGCCTGTGCAAAATGTCTTGGCTGATGGATTTTGTTCTGTCCTACAGATGGTTATAGATTCTCACTTGGCGTCGGAGGCACCTGTCTTGGTACCAAGCTGGTAACCCCCCCTCGTTCCCC